CATCGATGAAAGATAATGTGAAGCTGCGTCTCGTCACTTGAACTGCTCGCTTGTTCATCGGTTTGTGGCGAGGGACGATCTCTGACTTTGATCCTCCTTGACTGGTCTGGATTAAATCATTTAATCCTGTTTCAATGTTCAAGGAAAAGAATCCTTTCTGATGAGACGAAGCGTCTGAGGATGTTTTCCTCCTTTTCTTCTTCTCTGGACTCCAGTCCACAGGAAGTCAGAGAGCGTGACGGAGCGTGACATCAGTCCGTGTGTCGGCTAACGGAGGATTATTTTCTGCTGACGCTCATTTGAACTCAGAGGATTCAGTTAATTACAAAGTGTCAGTCTCGTCTTCATGTTCCCGTCAGAGCGATTATTTCCAACGAGACCAGAAAACCTGGCCACAGATACGCTGCATTCAGGGACCAGCAGCAGCAGACACAGACTCTGAACACGTTTCAAAGACGCCAACAACATGCTAACAACATGTTAACAGCATGTTAACAACAAGCTTACACATCAAAACAGGCTAACACAGGCTATAAACATGCTAACAGCATGTAAACAACAAGCTTACACATCAAAACAGGCTAACACAGGCTATAAACATGCTGTTAACATGCTAACAACATGTTAACAGCATGTTAACAACAAGCTTACACAGGCTATAAACATGCTAACAGCATGTAAACAACATGTTAACAGCATGTTAACAACAAGCTTACACATCAAAACAGGCTTAAAACTGGAAGTGACTAGTGATCAGAATTCAAATGATAAAGCTAATTTTAGGGTGAATTATTTGACTCAAATAAAATTATGACTAATTTACAGTCAAAGGACAGACTGAAGGCTGGAGTTTGTAGTTTATAAAGGACAGATTGAAGGCTGGAGTTTGTAGTTTATAAAGGACAGATTGAAGGCTGGAGTTTGAAGTTTATAAAGGACAGATTGAAGGCTGGAGTTTGTAGTTTATAAAGGACAGATTGAAGGCTGGAGTTTGTAGTTTATAAAGGACAGACTGAAGGCTGGAGTTTGTAGTTTATAAAGGACAGACTGAAGGCTGGAGTTTGTAGTTTATAAAGGACAGATTGAAGGCTGGAGTTTGTAGTTTATAAAGGACAGATTGAAGGCTGGAGTTTGTAGTTTATAAAGGACAGATTGAAGGCTGGAGTTTGCAGTTTATAAAGGACAGACTGAAGGCTGGAGTTTGTAGTTTATAAAGGACAGACTGAAGGCTGGAGTTTGTAGTTTATAAAGGACAGATTGAAGGCTGGAGTTTGTAGTTTATAAAGGACAGATTGAAGGCTGGAGTTTGTAGTTTATAAAGGACAGATTGAAGGCTGGAGTTTGTAGTTTGTAAAGGACAGACTGAAGGCTGGAGTTTGCAGTTTATAAAGGACAGATAAGGCTGGAGTTTGCAGTTTATAAAGGACAGATAAGGCTGGAGTTTGAAGTTTATAAAGGACAGATTGAAGGCTGGAGTTTGCAGTTTATAAAGGACAGATAAGGCTGGAGTTTGCAGTTTATAAAGGACAGATAAGGCTGGAGTTTGAAGTTTATAAAGGACAGATTGAAGAGGGGGCGGGGGCTTACCTTTGTGAGACAGGCAGCGGACACTCTGTTTGCTTTGGATGTCCCAGAGTCGAACCGTCTCGTCATGTGACCCCGACAGGAGGAGAGTCCCGTCCATCGACACAGACAGACATGTGACCAAATTCCTGAAAGACACAGAGATGTGTAGTGTGTAGTTTGTAATTTTCTCACCTGTGTCTTTATATTAAAGAGACAAACAGCCTCAGTAAACACCCGCCGGGGTCTCTCACCTGTGTCTTTATATTAAAGAGACAAACAGCCTCAGTAAACACCTGTCAGGGTCTCTCACCTGTGTCCTTTGAAGACTTGGTTCCCGTCGTTGTCAGATGTGAAGGATTTGTCCCGACTGAGACTCTGCAGATGAAACACAGATCAAACAGACAACTCCAGTACCAGCTGTTTAATTAGCCCCACCCACTCCAGAACCAGCTTTTAAATAAGCCCCTCCCACTCCACACAGAGGTTAACGACAGCACACACCTTCCATGTGAGTGTTATTGTGTGAGTGAGTTTTGTGTGTTTGGTGTGGGGGTAATGCTGACACTCACCTGGCTGCACAGAGACACCTGGAAAATGTTGCCGTCACTGCCTCCACAGAAGAGGAAGTACTCACAGGGGTCAAAGGTCACGGACATGATCTCCACATCAAACAGGATGGACAGGAGCAGCTCACCTGAGGACAGCTCCCACACCTGGACAGAAGGAACCACAAACACCTCAATGAGTCAGAGACCAAACATGGCCGCCAGAGAACAGAGCGGCAGAAACCTCACTCATGTGACCGCGAGCGACTGAGCATGTGACCCAAGCTAACCTTAGCGACTTTGATCATGTGACCCAAGCTAACCTTAGCGACTTTGATCATGTGACCCAAGCTAACCCTAGCGACTCACATCATGTGACCCAAGCTAACCCTAGCGACTCACATCATGTGACCCAAGCTAACCTTAGCGACTCACATCATGTGACCCAAGCTAACCCTAGCGACTCTGATCATGTGACCCAAGCTAACCTTAGCGACTCACATCATGTGACCCAAGCTAACCTTAGCGACTCTGATCATGTGACCCGAACTAACCTTAGCGACTCACATCATGTGACCCAAGCTAACCTTAGCGACTCACATCATATAACCCAAGCTAACCTTAGCGACTCACATCATGTGACCCAAGCTAACCTTAGCGACTCACATCATGTGACCCAAGCTAACCTTAGCGACTCACATCATGTGACCCGAACTAACCCTAGCGACTCACATCATGTGACCCAAGCTAACCCTAGCGACTCACATCATGTGACCCAAGCTAACCTTAGCTACTCACATCATGTGACCCAAGCTAACCTTAGCGACTCACATCATGTGACCCGAGCTAACCTTAGCGACTCACATCATGTGACCCGAGCTAACCTTAGCGACTCACATCATGTGACCCGAGCTAACCTTAGCGACTCACATCATGTGACCCAAGCTAACCTTAGCTACTCACATCATGTGACCCAAGCTAACCTTAGCGACTCACATCATGTGACCCGAGCTAACCTTAGCGACTCACATCATGTGACCGAGCTAACCTTAGCGACTCACATCATGTGACCCGAGCTAACCTTAGCGACTCACATCATGTGACCCAAGCTAACCTTAGCGACTCACATCATGTGACCCGAGCTAACCTTAGCGACTCACATCATGTGACCCAAGCTAACCCTAGCGACTCACATCATGTGACCCAAGCTAACCTTAGCGACTCACATCATGTGACCGAGCTAACCTTAGCGACTCACATCATGTGACCCGAGCTAACCTTAGCGACTCACATCATGTGACCCGAGCTAACCTAGCGACTCCATCATGTGACCCGAGCTAACCTTAGCGACTCACATCATGTGACCCGAGCTAACCCTAGCGACTCTCATCATGTGACCCAAGCTAACCTTAGCGACTCACATCATGTGACCCGAGCTAACCCTAGCGACTCTCATCATGTGACCCAAGCTAACCCTAGCGACTCACATCATGTGACCCAAGCTAACCTTAGTGACTCTAGTCATGTGACCCCAAGCTAACCCTAGCGACTTTGATCATGTGACCCAAGCTAACCTTAGCGACTCACATCATGTGACCCAAGCTAACCCTAGCGACTCACATCATGTGACCCCAAGCTAACCCTAGCGACTCACATCATATAACCCAAGCTAACCTTAGCGACTCACATCATGTGACCCAAGCTAACCCTAGCGACTCACATCATGTGACCCAAGCTAACCCTAGCGACTCACATCATGTGACCAAGCTAACCTTAGCGACTCACATCATGTGACCCAAGCTAACCTTAGCGACTCACATCATGTGACCCAAGCTAACCTAGCGACTCACATCATGTGACCAAGCTAACCTAGCGACTCACATCATGTGACCCAAGCTAACCTAGCGACTCACATCATAACCCAAGCTAACCTTAGCGACTCACATCATGTGACCCAAGCTAACCTTAGCGACTCACATCATATAACCCAAGCTAACCTTAGCGACTCACATCATGTGACCCAAGCTAACCCTAGCGACTCACATCATGTGACCCAAGCTAACCCTAGCGACTCACATCATATAACCCAAGCTAACCCTAGCGACTCTCATCATGTGACCCAAGCTAACCTTAGCGACTCACATCATGTGACCCCAGCTAACCTTAGCGACTCACATCATAGACCCAAGCTAACCTTAGCGACTCACATCATGTGACCCAAGCTAATCCTAGCGACTCACATCATGTGACCCAAGCTAATCCTAGCGACTCACATCATGTGACCCAAGCTAACCCTAGCGACTCACATCATGTGACCCAAGCTAACCCTAGCGACTCACATCATGTGACCCAAGCTAACCATAGCGACTCACATCATGTGACCCAAGCTAACCCTAGCGACTCACATCATGTGACCCAAGCTAACCTTAGCGACTCTGATCATGTGACCCAAGCAAACCCTAGTGACTCACATCATGTGACCCAAGCTAACCTTAGCGACTCTCATCATGTGACCCAAGCTAACCTTAGCGACTCTCATCATGTGACCCAAGCTAACCTTAGCGACTGAGCATGTGACCCAAGCTAACCCTAGCGACTCTCATCATGTGACCCAAGCTAACCTTAGCGACTCACATCATGTGACCCAAGCTAACCTTAGCGACTCACATCATGTGACCCAAGCTAACCTAGCGACTCACATCATGTGACCCAAGCTAACCTTAGCGACTCACATCATGTGACCCAAGCTAACCCTAGCGACTCACATCATGTGACCCAAGCTAACCTAGCGACTCACATCATGTGACCCAAGCTAACCTTAGCGTCTCACATCATGTGACCCAAGCTAACCCTAGCGACTCTCATCATGTGACCCAAGCTAACCTTAGCGACTCACATCATGTGACCCAAGCTAACCCTAGCGACTCACATCATATAACCCAAGCTAACCTTAGCGACTCACATCATGTGACCCAAGCTAATCCTAGCGACTCACATCATGTGACCCAAGCTAACCCTAGCGACTCACATCATGTGACCCAAGCTAACCCTAGCGACTCACATCATGTGACCCAAGCTAACCCTAGCGACTCACATCATATAACCCAAGCTAACCCTAGCGACTCTCATCATGTGACCCAAGCTAACCTTAGCGACTCACATCATGTGACCCAAGCTAACCCTAGCGACTCACATCATATAACCCAAGCTAACCCTAGCGACTCTCATCATGTAACCCAAGCTAACCTTAGCGACTCACATCATGTGACCCAAGCTAACCTTAGCGACTCTCATCATGTGACCCAAGCTAACCTTAGCGACTCACATCATGTGACCCAAGCTAACCCTAGCGACTCACATCATATAACCCAAGCTAACCCTAGCGACTCTCATCATGTGACCCAAGCTAACCTTAGCGACTCACATCATGTGACCCAAGCTAACCTTAGCGACTCACATCATATAACCCAAGCTAACCTTAGCGACTCACATCATGTGACCCAAGCTAATCCTAGCGACTCACATCATGTGACCCAAGCTAACCTTAGCGACTCACATCATGTGACCCAAGCTAAGCTTAGCGACTCACATCATGTGACCCAAGCTAACCTTAGCGACTCACATCATGTGACCCAAGCTAACCTTAGCGACTCACATCATGTGACCCGAGCTAACCTTAGCGACTCACATCATGTGACCCAAGCTAACCTTAGTGACTCACATCATGTGACCCAAGCTAACCTTAGTGACTCACATCATGTGACCCAAGCTAACCTTAGCGACTCACATCATGTGACCCAAGCTAACCTTAGTGACTCACATCATGTGACCCAAGCTAACCTTAGCGACTCACATCATGTGACCCAAGCTAACCTTAGCGACTCACATCATGTGACCCAAGCTAACCTTAGTGACTCACATCATGTGACCCAAGCTAACCCTAGCAACTCACATCATGTGACCCAAGCTAACCTTAGCGACTGAGCCCTGTTTCCATTCAGGGGGTCAGTGTGGACAGAGTGAAGGAATGTAAGTACCTGGGAGAGGACTTGGACAATAAACTAGACTGAAGTAAAAACACAGAAAAAACACCGTCTACAAGAAGGGCCTGAGCCGCCTCTATTTGCTGAGGAGGCTGTGGTCCTGTAACATCTGCAGGACGATGCTGAGGATGTTCTATGAGTCTGTGGTGGCCAGTACTATTCTGTTTGCTGTTGCATTCTGGGGCAGCAGGCTGAGGGTAGCGGACTCCAACAGACTCAACAGACTGATCCGCAAGGCCAGTGACGTTATTGGGGTGGAGCTTGACTCTCTGACGGTGGTGTCAGAGAGGAGGATGCTGTCAAAGCTGAATCGAATCTTGGACAATGTCCCACATCCACTCCACAGTGTACTGGTCAGACACAGGAGCACATTCAGTGCTAGACCGATCCCCCAACGATGCACCACAGAACGACACAGGAGGTCATTCCTGCCAGTGGCGTTCAAACTTTATAACTCCTCCCTCTAAGAATCACACACCCGGACATTGGATTATTAACCTGGACATATTATTTAACTCTGAAACTGTGCAATCTGTCTGCAAACTGGTCAATACACTGTGCAATATCTGTTTAACACAGTTCATCTTGTACATTCATAATGTTCATAATGCTTTATCTTGTATATATCCTATTATTGTAGCCCTAATTGGTACTTGTTGCTTATTTTATCAACTCTATTCTATTTTATTTCCTACTGCTGTTAAGTGTGAAGAGCAATTGTAACACCGAATTTCCCCCTGGGATTAATAAAGTATTTCTTATTCTGACTATATAAATCTGATTATCTCTAAAACAGTCCACATTATTATGAAAATTAAACAAATATTTAATTACATATAACATCATATATAATTAAAAAATAACAATAATAACATTAAAACATAATCAAATTAACTCAAGGCATTTACACACACACTTTATTTGAAAACTTTATGATTTAACGTCTGAATATCCACAGCTCCTCGCTCAGCTCGCCATCTGTTGTGATGGTCCCAGCTAGCGGACTCTGGCTCCGCCGCCTGTGATTTATGTCAGAGGGGATTTTACCAAAATTAAAAAAGCATTGAAAGGACAACGAGAAGAGAAGCCCACTGATTTAACAAATCAATTTATGATCAGTTGAACAAATCATCTGTTGGATTTCATCCAGGAACATCACAATCTCAGTTCAACCACATTACGTACACACTACGTACGCACTTCTCTCTGTGCTCGTCTTGTTAGATCTTAGTGCTGCTTTTGACACTATTGACCATCAAATCCTATTACACAGAATAGAAGAATTACTCTGAATTACAGGGACTGCTTTAAGTTGGTTTGAATCCTACTTATCAGACCGATCTCAGTTTGTACATGTTAATAATGAGTCCTCTATGCACACTAAAGTTTGCCATGGAGTCCCACAAGGTTCAGTGCTTGGACCGATTCTCTTTACATTATATATGCTTCCTCTGGGAAACATTATGAGGAAACACTCCATAAATGTTCATTGTTATGCAGATGATACTCAGCTCTATGTATCAATGAAGCCCGATGGCACCAGTCAGTTATGTCAGCTAGAAACGTGCCTTAAGGACGTTAGGACCTGGATGACCAGAAATGTTTTGCTGCTTAACTCAGAGAAGACTGAAGATATGTCTTTTTTAACTTTTTCTAATGATATGACTGTCCCTAATGACATCAGCCTGGCATCTAGCAACACTGTTAGGAATCTAGGAGTTCTATTTGATCAAGATATGTCCTTAAGCTCTCACATCAGGCAAATTTCAAGGACAAGAGCTACTAGTGCCATACTACACTTCGAGAACATTACGCTCCCAGAATGTAGGCCTGCTCGTGGTACCTACGGTCTCTAAATGTACTATGGGAGGTAGAGCCTCAGGCTCCTCACCTTCGTAATCATCTACCAGTACTTTTAAGAATAGACTTATAACTATGTAAGGTATCGACCAGCTTTGAGTTATGCTGCTATATGCTTAGACTACAGGCACCTTGACCTCTTATCTCTCCCTCCTTCTCTGTGCATCAATATCATACTAATGGGCTCTCAGATTCCTCTGGATCGTTGGTGGACGGCCTTGTCTGATCAACATGAATTGAAGCAATACAAATAAGGATTGATTGACACGTACACACTATGCTAGCATTATGTACACACATAAGTACACAGTACATGTTTATGAATCAGACTCACCGGGGCCAGATGTGGATCTAAGTGGACTGTGAGGAGAAGCAGAGACCCGAGTCTGAACCATTTCTATTAATAGAATCTGTAAGTCTGAGTTTAATGAAGGTTTTTTTAAGAGCAACGACAGCGTCTGTCCCCACAGGGCCACCGACCAATCAGAAGACAGACACCAGAGATGAGCAGCGCACACTCAGAGCCTCTGGGAGGATTTATCAGCACCCCATTAATTCACTTCCTGTTCAGTAACACTGTGACAGAAGAGTTTTATCTCCATGTCCACGCTTGGTTTTTAATCAACAGTTTTGCTTTCTGACGGAAACATTCAGCTCGTCTTTCAACAGATGGGAAAAGCTTCAAACCAAACCTAGTTCATGAAACGTCTCATTCAGAGAGACTTTAGGGGGAGGGCGAGAGAGAGAGGGGGGAGAGAGAGAGAGAGGAGAGGGAGAGAGAAAGAGAGAGAGGGAGAGACAGAGAGAGAGAGAGAGAGAGAGAGAGAGAGAGAGAGAGAGAGAGAGAGAGAGAGAGAGAGAGAGAGAGAGAGAGAGAGACAGAGGAGAGACAGAGGGAGAGAGAGAGAGAGAGAGAGAGAGAGAGAGAGAGAGGGAGAGAGACAGAGGGAGAGAGGGAGAGAGACAGAGGGAGAGACAGAGAGAGAGAGGGAGAGACAGAGAGAGAGAGAGAGAGAGAGAGAGAGAGAGAGAGAGAGAGAGAGAGAGAGGGAGAGAGACAGACGGAGAGGGAGAGAGAGACAGAGGGAGAGACAGAGAGAGAGAGGGAGAGAGACAGAGGGAGAGACAGAGAGGGAGAGAGACAGAGGGAGACAGACGGAGAGGGAGAGAGAGCATCATGGGGCACGCTGAGACACATCAACACCTGACCTCTCACCTGTTCAGTCTGATCTCTCACCTGTTCTGGAGTTTGTGTCATAATGAAATACTTTTTAATTTCTTGGAGCAGGTTGGAGATGTCGAGTTGTTCACTCGTCTACCTGTGTGACTTTTACAGGTGTTAAAGTGATCCTCTAGCTTTGTAAGTGACTTTGGATTAAATTGAAGATAATAATCAAAGTGGAGGTGATGAACAGGTTTAAACAGGATTATAGCTTCAAGGTGAACATTGTTTATTCAATCGCTCTCACAGCAGGACACGCTGCCAACATAATAAAGTCTACCTGTTGTACCTGTACAGGTGATTACACTCAGTCTTACCTTGACAGTTTGGTCTAAGGAGGCGGTGGCGATTCTGGCTTGAGCTCCCATCAGGCCACAGTGCAGGTCTGTGATTGGTAGAGAGTGACGAGACAGGACATGACGCGGCTCAGGGGTGTGGCTTGAGTCCAGCTGGATCACACTAAGACAGACACACACACACACACACACGCACACACGCGCTTCCATTAAACAAGGTCAGTTAGGGTATCAGCTGCAGACGAGGGAATAAAAATAAGCCCGTATTGCTCCCACTGCTTTGTTGCCGGTGTGTGAATGTGTATGAATGGGACGATTTATTTCTGATGGTCCATTTAAAACTGAAATGTATCTGCCAATATGTTTCTTAGATCTTTATTTGATCTGTAGATAAATATAGATATTTACTGTGTTGATCCCTGTTATGAAAGACTTGTGGAAAAGATTTATAACAAAGACAAGATGGTCACTTGACTGGAAAGTAACTGACTATGAACATCGACACTCTGCAGAGTGATGATGTTTGTTGTAATCCATACAGCGCCCTCTGCTGGTGAAAGACAACTGCTACTGTAATACAATGAAACTTGATCACTGGATATGCTAATATCAATTTATTGGTCAGCTCTAGACTGTACTGATTTATTTTTTCAAATTTGAGGTTATGGGCGAATATGATTCCAAGATTTTTTACATATGGTTTTATTTTTTTTGAATAATTCAGAGACTAGGCGATGGTGTGGAACATTATGATCTTAGTTTCAGTAACAGCTTCATCCACCAGGCGGTCAGGAAGCTGAACCCTCTCTCTCTCCCCATCTCAACAGGAAAACCAAAAAAAGCTCTGTACACTGAAGTCACTTTATAACTATTAGTGCCCCCCCCCCCATCAGGAACCAGAAGCGTCTGCATCTGTCACTTTAAGACTTAAGACTTCAAATTAAAGCAGCATTTAGAGCGCCATCTTTTCACTAGTTAGTGCCTTATATACATTTATACATAGTTCAAGTCCATGCACATTTGTTGTTTTTGTTTTGGACATTATCTGAATATTTCTGTATTTACATATGAATTTGCCATCTTTTATAATGTTTTAAACTATTGCAATTTGCACAGTGGTTTGGAGAGCAACAATTTTTTGTTTTTTCTGTGTGTCCAGTCTGTATGGAAAAATCTAGAATACAGTGTACTGACTTCACGGAGCAGTTAGAGGGAGTACTAACTTCTTATTGTGCGGTCCACTGGGTCAAAAGTTACGCTGAGATTTAAAACCAGCTGCTACAAGCAGGTCATTCATTCCTGTCATCGATGCAGACTCTGCACAGGGTTAGCCCAAAACCTGGACTAAAATGTTCAAAGATTATCCGGTGAGGGAGGAGCTGTAATATTTATCAGGTTCTGTAAGGCTGTGGTAGTGGGATGGAGAGAAGAAGCTCCTCAGTGGATTCACCAAAGCCCCATCTTTGTAAATATCACAGAGATGTGCAGCGGCTCTGCTTTTCTGCAGTCTTGTCAAATAGATCGAGTACGTCCATTGAGCCAGAAAGAAGTTTTGAGTTTAAAGGCTCTCCTTTTGAATCAAGAATGAGGTTACAGTACAACCCAATTAAACGAGTACTAAAAGAAAAGAATATTCGTTTTCAAACACCGCTGACCCAGATGCGCGTACACTTTGACTCAGGCGAGGTCACGTACAACAGTGGTGAGGAAGCCTCGGAGGATCTAAGGAGACGTGGATTCACAGTGGGACCGCTACTTATGAGGAAATCCAAGGAGATCACAGTGGAGTCTATTAACGAACTCTTGCCATGGAGTACAGCAGGGATTCGACGAGCTGGGAACGCGCACACCTACCAAGGGAGCATACGTGAGAGGCTGAGGGAGTTTCAGAGGCGGGACCGAGAGGATGCCCCAGTTGATGAGTAATGCCTTTGCCCTTCTCCATGGAGAAATGTTTATATTTTCTCCCTTTAGTCTATTGGCCCTTTGGCTGAAAGACAAATACCCTACTCTGCTGTGATTATAATGAGCCAGTAACAAAGACTAATCGGCTATACAACCTGGGACCTCCCCTTGAATTTATGTTGGAACAATGAACGATGCAGGTGATTCTCACAACAAGCCACCCAATTTTTCTATTCCCCTTTTTTTATTTTAAAGAGGTCGCAAGGAATCCTCTGAAATGGAAGACCTGTTTGGTATTAGGATGGTTCTGTTCACAAGTTCAGTGAATGTTTTATCTTGTTTTGTTTTTCATGTGAGGACTGGGCACTGGATTTTCACAGGTACAGGTTAATATGTTTATGGTGAATGAGCAGGAGATAGATAAAATCCTTAGTGAGGAAATTGAAAAGAAATTAAGATTCATGAAACAACGATATTATGAGGCAGGATACAATTACAATACAATTCACAAAATTAGGGACCCTGTTACAAATAAGTTTACTAATAAATTAGAGGAAATTCAAAATGCATTTGAAAAGTACTATACACTACTATACACACACAACTGGACCGAGCAGACGGACTCACAATTCAAAAATTTCTTGCTTCATTAGATCTTCCCTCTATAGGTAAAAAATTAAATGACAAGCTAGTCACTGAAAAATCTACCGAGGAAATTGATAGTGCAATCTCAAATATAAATGCCAATAAATCACCAGGCTGTGACGGATTCCCTCCAGAATGGTATAAGTACATGAGAGAGTCTCTGATTCCCTTATTAAAAGCCTCTTTTAACTTTACTTTAAGGGGTGGAGCTCTCCCACCATCATGGAACGAGGCATTTATTTCAGTCATATGCAGCAATATTAGCGAAGAGGCTAAACACAATAATGCCCTCCTTGATAGATGAGGATCAGACAGGTTTTGTAAGTACAAGGCAAACGCACGACAACATAAGAAGAGCCCTCCATATCATTAATCAAATCTCCAATCAATCATTAAGTGCAGTCATTCTCAGCCTCGATGCTGAGAAGGCATTTGATTCTGTAGGATGGGACTTCCTATTTCAGGTTTTGAAAAGATTTGGTTTTAATGATATATTTATACCATGCATAAGAATGCTCTATTCTTCTCTGACGGCGAGGATAAAAGTGAATGGGTGTCTCTCGAACCAAATAGTTCTGCAATGAGGATGTAGGCAAGGCTGCCCACTAAGTCCCTTACTATTTAATTTCTTTATAGAGCCGCTTGCCCAGGCTATTCGAGAGGAGACCGCTCTGGAGGGTATAACCATAGGTGGAGTTGAAAACAAAATTTGCCTGTACGCAGATGATGTTCTTGTAACAATGAAAAATCCTGAATCTGGTATTCCGTTGCTTATGGACATCCTGAAGAAATATGGTCAATACTCTGGTTATACACTCAACATCCAAAAAACACAAGTTTTGACCTTCCGCTTTGCTCCTTCAAAGCAATTAATGGACAGGCACCAATTGAATTGGTATCAACCGCAAATAAAATATCTTGGTGTCCTCTTAACAAAAAATCTTTCACAACTATATGATGTTAATTACAAACAGCTGAATAGGAGGATATATGACGAGAGGGAGGTGGAGCCTGCTCCCCCTCGACCTTGGCAGTAGAATCCGTACAATCAAAATGAACATTCTTGGTCAGAAGTAGTTAAGAGATTTCAGCTTCGCGGGGAGATTGGTCTATTAAGCTGGCCGGCATTCCATCCACACTTCCTCCCGACATTACAGGACAATAAGTACAAACACTGGACTAAACGAGGCATCACCTCCTTCTGTAGAATAATACAAAAAAGAAACCTAAAGAATTTTGAGGAACCTGCAAAATGAGTTGGGTAAAGAGGATATTTACCGATACCTACAGATTCGGGTTAACCCTAACCCTGTTCTT